TTATTAACTTAGAACGAGTATTTTTAAAGACCAATTTGCAAGTATTTTCAGAAGATTTTTTAAAATCTGTGTGGGCATTAGAAATGACGATCCTTTTTATGTCTATGAAACAATTTATTGAATGCACTGACTAACAATAAAGAACAACATATATGAAAACTTAAACTTTATCTTTTGTGTTCCCCAATTTCCTAAAAATGCATTGACACTGTTCTCCAACTTAAGTATCCTCTCTCTCTTTCTCAATTACTTTTAGAAAGTTTGCTAACATTCTCTCCCTTTTTCAACTTTCATTTAGATATTCTAATAATCACCAGTGTTGGGCCTCTACCAGTGATGAAGAATCAGTAGTCTTAATCCAAGGAATAGCTAGCCTTCAAAAAATACAGCTGTGCAAACTAGAATAACGGGCCTCCTTATGGGTTTATGAATGACAATCCAGTTATACTCTTAAAGAACCTTTAGTTTGTTATTTTGTTACTTGTAGTTGAAATTACCCAGAGTATTGCAAGTTGCTGTCTCTTCACGATGTACTGGATACAGCAATCAGGGGGGTACTGTTGAAACACATGAGATATTTTGTAATTCTTCAGCTCAGAACTCTCAGTAGTCTCCATTTCATTCAATGACCCAAATCCCTAGTTAAGATATGCAAGTCCCTTGCTCTATCTCTGCCTTCCTCTCTTACTTTGAAATGGTGATTTTCAAAAATGCTTAAGGCTGTAACGTTTGGTGACGTTATTTTTGTTTTCTTTTGACTTATTTCACATATAGGTTTGATCGCCTTTTCTCGGCCAAGCTATAAAAATGTATCGCCTCTGCCCTTATGGGAATCTTACATAGTGGGGAGACAGCGCAGATGAGCACCAAAAGCTTCATTACATGAATAATTCAATGTAATTGTGATGCGTGCAGTGAAGGGGAAATAAAGGCAGGCTTCTGTGGCCTAGTTCAGCACAGGATCAAGAAAGCTTCCTGAGGAAATAACATTTAAGACCTAGATGATTTACGGGGATTGGGTTAAGGAAAACAAGAAAGGACACAAAGTGGCAAAAGACAAATGTGGGCAGGGAGAGGAGGCACAGCTTGGGATATGCTAGAGGAAAGGCAGTAGCCTTCTTATGCTGGACCATATACAGTAATTTGTATTTTATTTTCAGGTAATTTGAAAACCATGGAAAGCTGCATAGATCAGTTCAGGGATGGATGAGTATAATCTCTATAATGACAGGCAAGTATAGTCATGTGCTAATGCTAGATGGTAAATATAGGTCACAGTGTTTACTGTAAAGTTCTTTCAAATTTTCCGTATAGTTAGACATTTAACATACCATCTTGAGATGAATCATTCTTTTGGGCAGTTGGAATGATGGGGAACAAGAATAACTGTAAAGACAACAGCCAGAGAGACATCTCATCTGGTAACACACTTGCAGCAACAGACTAATTTAATTACTCAGTTTCAATCCCCAGAGTCCATGTGAAGTTGGAGAGGAGTCCACAGAGTTGTTCTCTGACCTCCACATGTGCATGCAACACACACACATCAATATACATAAAATAGCTAATAATAAAATTCAAAATGATTAAAGCCAGGAGACTACTGAAATAGCCACGAAAAACAGAGACATTAGTTTGGGCTTGTGTGGTATCACAGAGATGAGGAAACTTAAGAAGTAGATTCCATATGATTCCCTGACTGACTTTGCCTCAGGGCAAAGGAGAAGCAAGAAGTAAAAATCATTCCATGGTACCTTGTTACAGTCACAGGTTAGAGGATGGGTGCCCCTAAGTACTGAGATGGGACAGGCTGGAACAAGACGACTAGGGAACAAGAATGATAGCAGAATATTTAGTTTGAATATATTTTCAAAGAAGTTATCCAGGCGGAGATGTCATACTGGCAGCTAGATGTGGGTTGTCATCATTAAATAAAATTATAGAAATAAATCCTCAAGAAAAGGAGTTTTATTTGACAGTGAATGGAAAGATAGAATTATATGTGTATATATATATATATATATATGTGTGTGTGTGTGTGTGTGTGTGTGTGTGTGTGTCTGGTGTATCTAGAGAACTAAGGAAAAGAGTATCTTTTTATTGAAGAAAGAGGGAGTAACACAGATTATTTTGGAAGCCAGTTCCAGAAAAGAGTAATACAAATATTTTTCGAATCAAGTTCATATGTCTGGTAATGTCTTTTGGGGAGCTGTCAAGCTTGGATTGGTGATCAGTGACAACCACTAAGTAAATTTAGTCTTAAAGTCATAGTGGGTTATTTGGTTGCATAGGACTTGCAAGGCATCCAATGAAACATATTTGTGACCTACGTGTTTTCCCCTATGATTTCTTGGCTGTATACTTGGCTGTGACAGGAATAAGTAAACTGGCATGATGGATCTTCTCAGAGTCTAGGGCTGAGAAGAAAGGTCTGCATTGAATATGCAAGTTTTACAATATAAGAAGTATCCAATACCATGAAAGTAGGTTAGAAGTGTAGAGAAAGGGAGCACTGAAGGATCCAAATGGTAACAGCTATGCTGAGAATTCTTAGAGGCACAAGAGAAGACGCATTTAGTAACTAGAAATAGAAAAAAATCTGGAGTGTGTGATTTTCAGACTTCTGTTGGTGGATTTTGCATTGTTTCTGATCTCTTTCAGAAACGCAAGCATATATAGGTGCTCCTTTCACATATATGTATCTACGTCTGTAGGGTAGATGCATGGCAGTGGATAGCTGAATTCCACAGTGTTTGTTTTTAAAAAGAGAAGATTGCTGGCAGAAGCCTTTATGGTTTGTCCATATTTCCTGTGGCATCTGACTGAACATATTCATTGGACTACTACAGAGCAATAACCTATAGGCATAGAAAAGACTGACGCTGACAGTATACTTTCGTGCAGAAGAGGTGGACAAAGGCTCTCCTTAGTCTTTAAGCACTTGAATTCTGTGCCATTCAGAGAATACTTTACTTTTGACATGGGTTCTCTTTATAATCTAGGCTGATCCTCCTGATTAGACTCCCAAATGCTAGGATTCCATCTATATACCAACATACCCCACTTGTATTTTAAATATTATTTTGTACATACATTTAAGAAAAGAGATCAATCTGAGGGTGTTTGCCTTTGTTTTCAGGAGCAACTAGAGTGGGTTTCTGCTATATTTTGTGTATGTGGGGTTTGTATTATAGAAATACCCAGTTAAATGCTGGAATTCATGAAACCATTGTACAGAGATTTGCTTTGAATTCAATATGAACACAAAGGTTCATGCTCTTGAGTTTGAGTTGTAAATTTAAGAATTATCTAACCACATTTTTCTTAGTGAATAAATCTACTTTGTTGTACCTACTCCAGAGACAGACTTCACCATCGCCAACTTCTCACATCCGCTAAGATGTCAGTGAGTAGTGGTTGAGTCCCATCATGTTTGAAGACAGTTTATTTTTCCAAGCACATAGTTTTCTTATCTCCATTTATGAAGGACATCACAGTGGTGTGAGAATTCTTAACAAGTACCGTACTTATTGAGTTACAATAAGCTGAGTTTTCTACAGATGGCCTATTTTGGAATAATGTTGTAAATGGTTTGTGTATTCCCTTACTATGAAGAATATTAAATACATTCTTAAATCAGTTTTCAAATTTCAAAAATGTATCTAAATATGTGTAGCGACTCTGTAGAATGAATCTGACATGGTTTTAGTTTTTCTACTACTATTATTTATTTGTTAGATTTTAAAGGGGTTCCATGTATTCAAATGAAGAAATGAGCTATGGGGAATTAACCTGACTCTGTAACATCTAGAACATGCATAGTTTTGATGCATGGGATGCCACTGAGATAGGGTCTGGTTATATAGCCCAGGACAGCTTAAAATTCTCTATGTAGCCAAGACTCACCTTCAACTCTTGATCCTCCTGCCTCCATCTCCAAAGTGCTGGGATTATAAGCATAACCTGCCACATCTGGCATAGACTATGCATATTTGTGTTTAAATAATCAGACTATGATCTACTTTCTTTGACATGTAATATTCTATCTACCTTTATAAGCATAGAGTCATGTCTAAGTTGCCTAGGAGCTAAGTCCAGATTCAGTCACAGTCTTTACACAACCTTAAACAAATTATTTCAGTTCTCTGGAATGCAGGATTAGAACATACAAAATAAAGAACCAGGCTTGGCATCCCTTCTGGATTTAACTGACTTTGCTTCTAAATTTGGTAGCTTAGGTACCAAAATGACAGGACTTATAATGGATTCAACTATTGGTCTGTGTTTCACCATCCATTCTTGAATCCTCACTCTTGTCATTAGCATGACTGTGGACAAGGCATATTTCCTTTTCTATTGTTTTGGACTTAGCGATATGACTTCTTTTTGACCAATGAGGCACAACACACATTCTTGAGCAGTGGGACTTATCCAAGTACACCGCTGCCATCATCATACTCAGGCTATTCTTTTGGTCTAATGAGGATGAGATATAAGCTTCTGATTTAGACTCTAAGGCCTATAAGAAGGAAGCAGAGCTGTCCAAGTCAACCTTCATAGACATGAAAAAACTGATTTTCATTTTAAGTCATTGATTTATGGGGTGGTTTGTTACTTGATATCATAATAACATAAGAAAATAATATGAATTAGGTAAGAGAAAATGAAAGTTTGAACATGGAGTTCCTGACTCTTCCCTACAGAGGCACAGGAAAGAGACAGTGGAACCTCTCCCTCCCTTTTCATTTAACTAGTCGCAGTAGTGAACAAAATGTGAAAATATGAATTGATTGGCTCTTATTTCCTTTTACTTAATGGCTTATAATATTGGACAAAATAATTTTTGTAACAGAGTTCTCTAATTACTAGTTTATCAGCAAGATGACCCTATGTTCCAATTTCTTTACACACATTCTAGTTTGTGTCTGTGTTTTTTCTTTCTTTCTCCTCTCTCTCTCTCTCTCTCTCTCTCTGTGTGTGTGTGTGTGTGTATAATCATTTAGCTCTCTTCACTTTCAAAAAGAGACTGAATTAGACAATGAGTTCTGAAATTGCCAGAATCCCACCAGTACATCTTGAAACATTACCATCTCCATCCTGAAGTTTGCCACTATAAAAGGTTTCTACCCCATCTCTCAAAACATCCATAGCATGTCTTCTTTACATGACAGGCAGTCCTAGGATACACAAAAGGTGGCAAGTATGTCTCTTTGTTATTCTTGAAGCAATATACCTTGTTGGTGCTCCCTTTTCTTCTCAAACTGAAAAAATATTAAGTAATTTGTTTGGAAAAGTGTTGAGGAAACTTAATCTCAACAGTATTTTCCAATAAACTTGTGTCATTTCTGTCAATATAAAACGATTGTTGGCAAGATGGAATGGTACACTTCCTATTGTCTAATTAGGGAATCCTGAGTAGGTGAACATATAGAAGCATATGTTTTTTTAGACAATTAGCAAAATCCTAAATGTTCACAACACTGACATATCTCCTCTCATGTCCTAACACCCTTAGGTGAGAAATGACGACGAAATAGTATTCAAGGCTCCAGTCCTATGCTGAGAGAAAACAGTTGGCAAACAGAGATGTAGTTATTGGAGAACTGGTCCCGTTAGAGCCTACATTTTGCCATGCTGGAACGTAGCATGAGAACTCCCTCTATAGATGTTCCAGGGTTGTCAACCATCTTTTGCCAAAGACGCTGTTCTTCCCCACGAGAGTCCATCCAGTCTACGGTCTTCCCATGGCTGACACCTGAAGAAGGGAAAAGGGGGTACAACATTTCACACAGGGGGTGGACATTCTAGAAGGCAAATAACACTCTCTAAGGGGAACTTTTAAGTAGAAATTCTCTTGTTGAGCTCTTCTCAATCCCCATATCTAGTGTAAGGTATGAAAATGAATCAGTCTTTTGAAGCCGGCATGATTTCTTTCTGCTTAGGTTGTGCAGGGAAATCAGAATGGCCCCTGATATCTCATTTCCTCCCTACTTTGATAGAGTGGCAGAGAACTAATTCATCTAAACCAAGTTAATGTTAATTCACAAGCTGGCCTTAGATATAAAGATCTCTATTTCTATCATAGCTACTTCTCTGACCCTGGAGGTTTCAAGTTTACTGACATATACATCCCCTGCTCTCCTTAATCTAGAAAAAAGTTTCATATAGATGGAGGCTTTCTCAATCAAAATGTTGACATGGCATATGGCTAGCCTAAGATATGGGATAAAGAGATTTGGGGTGACTGCATGTTCGTTTCTAGTGATAAAGCATTCGATCACTGTAATATGTCTCCTCACCTAGTTCACACCTTGCTATATTTTATGACACGAGTTATGTGTTTTCATTCTGTTTTTAGGATTCTATCAACATGACACACATGGGTCATTGAGAAAATGTATCCATCTGATTGGCCTGTGGGCAAGTCTGTGGAGAAGCTTCTTGATTGATGATTGACCTGGCAGGAAACAGTTCATGTGGGCAGTGCCACCCCTGGGCAGGTGATCCTGGGTTATATAAAAAGCAAGTTGAGCAAGAATGTAAACAGTATTGTTCTCTGGTTCTGCTTAAGTTCTGCCTCTATGTTCCTGCCTTGACTTCCTGCCCTGATTTACCTCCGTGATGATAAATCCTTTTCTCCCCAAGTTGGCTCTCATTATTGCCTTTATCATAACAATAGAAAGCAAACTAAGACACATTGCTTAAATGAACAATATTAGATGTTATGTACAGAGAAAATTTGATTTCCTTTTAATGTGATCGTTGTTGAGTTGAAGTACTAGACAGAAGTGAAAAGAAGATGAAGTAAAGGCAAACTTATGAGTCCTTCCTCTCCCATCACAAGTCTGTGATATCTTAATTTTCAGCTGAGCAAAACATGAAGACCCAAGAAAGTCCTTTAAATTTACTTACATGAATGTATTGAAGATTTTTCTATGAAAGGATTCAGTATAAACATAACATAACACTTCCTTAACTTTAAGCCTAAGGATACAAAGATACCATAGGAACACTTAGGTTTTAACAGTGATCAGTTCTCCATCTAAAAGAATAAGGCATCTGTGTTACTTCAGGAGTTATTGTAGTTCAAACTACATAAAAATCAACAACAAATCACACCTATAGTAGTCATGCTGTTGCCCATGCCCTGTTATAGACCAGCTGCAGCTCTCCCAATTCCTTACCACTTCCAGAATTTAAACGAACACCTCCTAGAAAGATGTTGCTGGAAAAGGCCTCCTTGTCCCAGATGGTGAGTTCTAGGCAAACATTCTTTATATCCTGAGGATACAGACCACTGAATATGAATGTATGATTCCACTGAGGATTAACACTCTTTTTTACAACCACAGTTTTGTGCTTGGTGGCTTTGTTATCATCAGGAAGCAGGTAGCTGTAGAAGGAAACACAGTCACATTAGTGGGGAAGTAAAAACAAAATGATAACTTTGAGTTGTCACTTGGTTTTCCTATAGTTCTGTGTAACTGTGTGTGAATGCAATATGCATGCTTGATGTTCTCTCCCGGATTCTTATAAGCTTAAACTATCTTATTTAGAGGGACGGACGACTGACTAGTGCAACAATAGTAAAATGCCCTCTTTGTTTTTGCATAATTTTTTTTTGTTTTTCCAAAGCCTTCCAAATATTTGGTTCTCCATCTGGTAAATAAAAGACCTCTGCAGGCAGCCACTATTGAGTGCTTCACTTTGTATCTTCTTGGGTCATCTGTAAGCTGATTTGCAGCCAGGGTGCATAGTTCCTGGCATATTTTCAGCTTCTTTCCTCAAATCCTGTGTGTCTACCTAGTTTTGTGTGAGTTTTCTCCCTTTTGTTCAGAGCACCTAGAAGTTACTGAGGACCAAATGCTTGAATGGCAATTCTCAGTATGTTTTAGAAAAGGTTGATGAGTCCCCTAGTTCTTCAAGGGATACACCTAAGGAACATTAAGTGAAGTTTTTATTGTTTCCCCAGTAGGTCTGAACCCTATGGTGATAATCTACCCACTGACATTTTAATCTGTTTCCCTCTATCTTTTGATTCATGGTCTACATGCTTTCACTTATGTTTTCCTGGAAGCCCTTCTCTGGTAGACCACCTGCGTCCTTGGTCTTCTCTATTGAGTTCAAACTCTAACTCCCAAATACCTTCCTTCAGGAAACATTGTTTAGGGAAGAAAATGACCGTGTAGATGGAATCCCTACATGAAACAATTATGAAAAGTACAAGTAGCCCATCTACTGATGCCTTGCTCAGAGCCTCCTGAGACCTGGGGACTGTGCACAGGGGAACCAATCCTGGCAGACCAGCCCATCCAGAGTCTGCCGAAGTAGTTGTGCTATTCACCTGTCCACCCACGGAAGGAGGCAAGCATGGGCCTGTTTCCGGCCCATGTTCCTGTGTGGCCTGCCTTTCCAATCAAATGGACCCAAGAAACAAGCGGGTGTAGCAATCCTAATATCATAAATTAGACTTTAAACAAAAATCAATCAAAAGAGAAGAAGAAGGTTATTTCATATTCACCACAGGAGAAATCCATCAAAAAGAAATCTCAATTCTGAACATCTATGCCACAAATAAAAAGGCATCCACATTTGTAAAAGAAACATTACTAAAACTCAAATCATGCATAAAACCTAACACAATTATAGTGGGAGACTTCAATACCCCACTCTCACCACTAGACAGAACCACCAGACAGAAACTTAACAAAGAAAAAAGGAAATAACAGAAGTTATTATTCAATTGGGTTTAAAAGATGTATATAGAACATTTCATCCAAACACAAAATAATATACCTTCATCTCAGCACCACATGCAACCTTCTCAAAAATCAACCACATACTTTGCAATATAGCAAACATCAATAGGTACACAAATTAGAATAACACCCTGTATCTTGTCAGACCACCATGGTTTAAAATTAGAATTCAACAACAACACAAATTGCAGAAACCCTACAAACTCATGGAAATTCAACAATGTACAATTGCACCATACCTGGGTCAAGAAAGAAATAAAAAAGAAATTAAAGACTTCCTAGAACTCAGAGAGAATGAAGATACAATATACCCAAACATATGGGACACTTTGAAAGCAGTGCTAGTTCATAGTACTAAGTGACCACATGAAGAAACTGGAGAATAGTCACATTAGAGAATTAATAGCACAACTGAAAGCTCTAGAACAAAAAGAAGCAAACTCACACCAGAGGAGTAGATGCCAGAAGATAATCAAATCGAGGGCTGAAAACAATAAAGTAGAAACTGGGAAAACAATACAAAGAATCAATGAAACAAAGAGTTGGTTCTTTGAGAAAATAAAAAAGATAGGCAAAACTTTATCCAAAATAATCAAAATTAAAAAAAGCGGAAAAAAGGGGGGCATAACAACAGACACTGAGGACATCCAGAGAAGCATTAGGTCATACTTTGAAAACCTGTGTTCCTCAAAATTTGAAAATCTAAAGAAAATGGACAATTTTCTGGATAGATACCACTTACCAAAATTAAATTAAGAACAGATAAGCAATTTAAATAGACCTATAACCCCTAATGAAATAGAAGCAGTCATCAAAAGTCTCCCAACAAAAAAAGCCCAGGGCCAGATGGTTTTAGTGCAGAATTTTCCCAGAAATTCAAAGAAGAGCTAATACCAATATTCCTCAAATTGTTCCACACAATAGAAACAGATTAATTGCCAAACTCTTTTTACTAGGCCACAATTACCTCGGTACCCAAGGCACACAAAGACACAACTAAGAAAGAGAACTACAGACCAATATCCATCATGAACATTGATGTAAAAATACTCAATAAAATACTGCCAAACTGAAAATAAGAACACATCAGAGAAATCATCCACCATGATCAAGTAGGCTTCATCCCAGGGATGCAGGGATGGCTCAACATATGATAATCCATCAATGTAATCCACCATATAAACAAACTGAAAAAGAAAAACCACATGATTATCTCACTAGATGCTGAAAAAGCCTTTGACAAAATCCAACACCCCTTCATGATAAGGGTCTTGTAAAGATCAGGGATAACAGGAACATACCTAAAGATAATAAAAGCAATGGACAGCAAACCAACATCCAACATCAAACTAAATGGAGAGAAACTCAATGCGATCCCTCTAAAATCAGGAACAAGACAAGACTATCCACTCTCTCCCTATCTCTTCAGAATTGTACTTAAAGTTCTTGCTAGATCAATAAGACAACAAAAGGAGATCAAGGAGATACAAATTGGAAAGGAAGAAGTCATACTTTCACTATTAGCAGATTATATGTTAGTTTACATAAGTGACATGAAAAACTCTACTAGGGAACTCCTTTGGCTGACAAACACCTTCAGCAAAGTGGCATGATATAAGATGAACTCAAAAAAATCAGTAGCCCTACTATGTGCTGATAATATATGGGCTGAGAAAGAAATCAGAGAAACATCACCCTTTACATAGCCACAAACAACATAAAATTTCTTGGGGTAACACTAACCAAACTAATGAAATACCTATATAACAAGAACTTTGAGTCATTAAAGAAAGAAATTAAAGAAGATACCAGAAAATGGAAAGATCTCCCA